CTGTCTTGAGTCCAAATGAATATTTACGTGCGAGTGATTCCAAACAGTAACACACTCTGTTGTTCATATCCATATTACTGGTCGTAGGTATCAAAAACAGTAGTAAGATTAATCTATCAACTGCGTCATTACCATAGGAAGCTTCTCAGACATCTTACGTTTGGTACAAATGCAACCAAGCGTGGCCACTCAGATGTCAAGAAGAAATCGCTTCTCAAAACCCAAAGAGGCAGATTTAATTTTAACAGAATATGCTCTGATGGCAAGAGGCACCTCTGCATTTTGTAGTCCTTTGAGGTCGTACAAACTGTTGCAGATAGTACACTGATGCATCTGCTCCTGTTCTTACAGTTTTTTTTAAAACCTGTAAAGTGTTGCCTCTATTCTGAATGCAAGAGGTCTGAAGGGGGGAAAAATATCCCAACCAACCAAAAACCAAACACAGAAAGGCTGATACCCCAACCTCAGTCGAGGAGGAACTGAGAATCCACCTGAAAGAAAAAAAAAAATTCTAATAAACTGTCCCTAGGCACGCTGTATGGAGGTGATCCATGGCAACTGCACAAACATCTCCCAACCTTTGCCTGAGATAACTGCAGGCAAGAAATTTCCACGCAAGCCTACCACAACGACGTCAACTACTTAGTGATTCAAGAAGGGTGGAGGATAAGATTTCTGAAATTTGTGTCCCAGCTGGGATCTTTATGGAGAAAATACAGTTTGAATGACTGCCTCAGGAGCTCCAGGAGAGTAGAATTTGGAGGAGTAGGAAAAGAAACAAATTTTTTCTACTAATGGCAATGAGCAGAAATAGTAGCTAAGCAGGGCCTCAGTCAAAAGAAGAGCCCAGGCTGGTATTCAAGACATTTTCTTGGAGCTAAAACAAGACTAATAATTGAGCAAGAGGAACAAGTGTGCAGTTTGAGAAAATAGTCAATTTTACTGTGTAACCTGAGCTGCAAAGAGCCCTTCTTGCTATTAATCATTACCTCTCTATATTGGAGGGATGCAAGCATGCTCTGCTGAAGACAGCCATCTAGCATTGACAGCCATCTCCTGTAAGATGAAACACAGCAAGACTGGAGTGGCAGAGTTTAGGCCTCAGCACTAGCACTTCAGAAAGAGAGAGGCAATGACCCAGTGGCATGCAAAGAAGATTCCAAAGTCAACGTCTTGCTTCAGTCAAGGATAAGGCTTTTCATAAGGACGAATGATTTTCCCTATCTGATCCCAATGATAATGCTATTGTTCCACCATAAATTCTGTATCAGTCCATCTGCTCACCAAGCCAGTAATGTACCCAATAAAGATCCACTAAATTCAGGAGCAGAAAATTTTACAGGAACTCCCCTCACAGCCTACATGCTAGAAGGAGCAGAGGAAGGTCTCCAGCAAGAGGGTGGAAGCCAACACAGGAGGTAGGTAAGCCTCTAACTACCTAATGGAAGGGAAAGGCCACAGCAGGAAGAATGCTGAACATCCCAGAGTATTAGGCAGCATTTTGCCCGTCTTCCAGAGGGCTATGCAAGTAGTATAACATTCCTTTCCAAAGTCCTTTCAGGAGCCACATTCATCCATCATCTGGCAGGACAGGAATTTGGCTCTCTCATAAAACTGAGGAATGGCTCTTGACAGTACAGGTGAGAATTCTTCTAGTTCAAAGTCTCAGGTTACAGGAAAAAATCAGATCAGAATAAGACTAGAAGTGCAGATATCCCTAGAATGGCTGAATGAAGAAACCTGTGGTAGGAAAATATAGTAGGGACCTAGTATTGCTGCTGTTTAAAAAAAAAGGGGGGAGGGCAGAGCAGTGAAAAGGGGATAATAGCTTCAGAAACATGCTGCCTCCAAGTACTGACAGACAGTCCTGAGGACCTCAGTCTTGCTTCAATGTGGCAGCTCTTGGCAGAGGCTAAACCACCACTAGCTGGATACGAACTCCGAGGTGAACAGAGCTAATGTGGCTTTAATCTTGGGGGTATAATCAATCACAGACACCCAAAGTAAAAATCAGATGGCCTGGTGCTGCCTACGAGGAAACTGGTTATGCTAGCCAAGCCCCACACCAGATTTCGTGACCACATTTGGAAGACTGCAGCAGAATGAGGAGCAGAGAGACTTTGGTATGTACAGGCCAGAGCCCAGAAGCAGAGCAGAAATATTTTTCGTTCCTTTTTGTTTCGTGAGAATAATTTTGAACTGCTTGTTTGCTCCAGAACTGGAGAGTCTAACTAAAGTGAAGGCTAGAGTTGCATAGGATCCAGCTGCACTGCTATTAGGACCTGACAAAAGCATTCTTCAGTAGATATGCATCTCCTTGTCCTGCAACCCATAGCTGCGACGCTCTGGCAGAACATGTGACCTCACCCAGGTGAGGGAGAAACAGTATGTAATGGTTTTTGCATGGAGCGTACCGCACACAAGCGGCACAAGACAGGAGGATATAGCTTTTAGAGTGGCTTCTTTTAACGGGACTTGTTGGAATTACAGCCCAAAATGAACATTCACAGGAAGCCAGGAAATATGTATCCAAAGAGTATCACTACACTCTCAGGGAAAAATCAAAGAAAACTGATCACAAAGTGCTTCTTTTTCATCAGACTGTTGAAAGGACCTGAAATGACACAGCACACACACTGCAGCCATTAAGCATGAAGGAGGCAGATGATACCATAAAGACACCGAGAAAGCAAAACGTTCTGTGGTCTTGAGTGAGAAAGATGTACCACTTGGTCAGTTAGCACTTGGGCTATTCCACAATAAAACGCTGTCCACAGGCTATATACCAGGAATTGCAGGTTACTTCATTAGCATCTTAATTTCGCAATAGTCAGAAGAGAGAAGCAGCCCAAACACAGGACTGTTTGGAAAAGCACATTCTTCAGCAATGTGCTGGCAGAATAACGACAAGATCAAAATAAGAACAGGATCAGAGATATGACAAGGCCCTAAACTTCAGCACTTTAATTGGGCAGAAGGGGGAAAAGGGGCAGCCCTCTCCCATCATCTCTGCCAGTATGATACAAAACCCTGACCAGAAAGCAGACATCAATCTACATCTCAGCCCTGTATTCATATGACAGCATGCTGAGGCTAGCCTAAAAGGGAAGAAAGAAAAGTATATATATATACCAAGTCATCCTCCTATACAAATTTAAAATAGCAATGTTATCATCACTTGCTTCTTTTCTTGAAGATGAAGTGATAAAACGTTTAAAAATCAGCACCAAAGCAAGAGGGATATGCAGTGGTCCTCAGGCAGGCAACCAGAGTTCGCTCGTCCTCAACCACATACACTTATTAAAGCTTTTGGATGAATGCAGAATTTAAACAAATCCAAAGTGAGAAAGACAAAGCCGAAAAGAAATCTGAGAAAGATGAAGTTTCACCTAGAATAACCAAGAACAAGTGATTAAAAGCATGCAATTCCTTTTCTGATGTACTCCTGTATCCTTGTTAGCACAGTAGGGCTTTTACTTTGCTAGATATAGTCTTCACTGCTTGAATTTTTTTAAAGGATTATAGTTGTTGAATTAAAAAAAAAAACTGGGTAACTAACAAACATGTAAATAAGGATAACAATGAAAGCCAAACACTTTAATATAACATGAAATTAACAGTGTCGGACCTGCAGCTCATATAAGCTTGGCCTTAAGTTTTAGCATTAAGTGACTTCCAAATGCCTTGTCTTCACTGCGTGGGTTTATTTCTTTAATTTCAAGAAAGCTCACATAGGACAGCCAGGCTGAAGTAAAAGTATTTTTATAACTCATTAAGACAGCAAAATTGTTTTTAGTAATTGGGGGGGGGCAGAAATCAAGGAATCTTCTAGGTATTTCTGTAGTATAAATAAGTATGCAGATAGATCATTTTATGAATTCACTCTCTTTTATCAGTTTTGCACCTCTATATCATAAAATAAAAATTTTTTGAAAGCAGAAGGAGCATTAAAGGAGCACTGAAGTACTCCAGTAGCAACTTTCTCTAACAAAAGCCTAGCCAAAACACCCTCCATAGCTCCTAAAGTATTCTAAACTTCTTGGATAACGTGGTCTCTTGCTTCCTCTGCTTTGTAATTTCATTATGTGACTGTCAACATTTCTCTAAACTCTATTAATTCCATTTGTTACTACATCACTGATTACTTCAAAAATTCATGTCAGGGGGAAAAAAAAAAAAAACAGAAACAAAAATGCACCAAATTGAATAAAATCTGACATTAGACTGAAACATTTACTTTGAGTGTACAAAGATATGTTGGTAGTAATACAAGACATCACCCAGAAGACTTTATAAGTGCATATTATTGAGAGTAGAGAGCTACCTAAGCTCCTGTTTTCAGCTCTCCACTTAGGCTTGACAGAAAATAGGATTACCTCTTTATCCAGAGTAGAAATCTGTAACATTTTCTAATCAAGAGCATTATTTACTCTTGCAAGGGGACATAGTCTTTCTTCTTTGGTACCCCTCCTGACTGAAGCTGTCAAATAGGCTTCCTAAAATTAGGAACTCAAATTCATATTGATGTTTTTATATAACAGGCGCCCATCACCCAAGAAAACACAGAGCTCTTTTATCTAGAGATGCCAACGTCTATTTCTTAATTAGCAACTTCCACAATCAGAATAGAAGCAAATCAAAACAACCGTTTGGATGCCAGAACTTTAAGCCTTATTCTGAATTTTAATAGTGAAGACCACGATTAAAAGCCATAATTTTCCCAGTTTAAAATGTTCCCTTTAAAGTATATTTTCTGCAATAAATGCTAATCACTTATAATTAAAAAAAAAATGATAGATGTTTCTTTGGGAAGCAGTTGCCAATCAATTATAGAAAATATTTTATTACAGAGACTCCTTTCAATCGTGGAGAAATACTGCAATAATTTTAATAAATCTGTTGTTTATAAATGAAATTCAAAAACATCACATAAATGATGTGAAATTGTTTGATAACATTCAAAATAAAGACATAGAATAAAATATCACTATATACTTTACCTTAGCATTCTCAAGTAGAGTATCATCTCTACCTAAGCCAGGTCCTATGACAACTGAGTGCAGTCGTGGTAACCATTTTTCCACCTCATGGACAGCATTGGGACTATCACTAAACAGAATTGGGGAAAAAAAAAAAGTTCAAAACAGCTTCATTTTAATATTCCCAAAAATCTAAGTTTCAGGTGCAAGATAGAAAGAGATACATTTTCAGTGCCAAGCAATTTTATCTTCCAAATTACCAAAAATGTGTAGCCCAGGAAATACGAAATGGTTGTCCAAATACTTAAGCTGCAACATTACCCTTAGTTTATTCTTTACCAGATACCATATAACAGTGAGGAAATAATTACAGGCATCAACTATGGCTGTTATTAAATAAATAAGCAAACATGAAACCAACAATTGTTACAATCTGTCACACTTCTCTAAGTTTCTTTGCACAGATTACAGTTTTTCTTGAAAGAGATCCACCACCTCTCAGGCATATACTGCAGCTTGCTGGAAATGACGCAACTATTTATTACTCGACATGGTGAAATGACAAATCTACTCATATGCTTTTTTGTCAGTTGCTTCATAAGCATTTGTTCCAACTGAATTACAGCCAAATTGTCCTCATTCCCCAAAAGGCAACAGAAGAATCAAGCTGTTCAGTAAAAATATTATCTGGTTGCAATGCTTAAGGTTTCTGTAGCATTTAGGCTTTGCCTACATCGAAAAAAAATGACGAGAAGATCCACGGCCAAACGTGACTGCCGCAATACCCAATTCAGCAATTGATCAGAACAGTTTATTTTATTCTAATCAGTTTTGTTGTGTAAATAAGTCAGAATATTTGTAAAGTGCTGCACCTGAATGTTAATAAAACCTTACTGCCAGTAGGGAGGGAAAGTTTAGCCCTCCTCCCAGTCTCCAACATAACTGGATGATAATAGATGAATATTTTAACTAAAGCCTATGAGGAAAAAGCAGCTCCCTATCTGCTAAGTAAAGACGTACTGTATGATAGTATTGCTTGGAATCTTTTGAGCTTGCAACACTTCAGGAAAGCTTTGTTATTACGGATAAAAGCCTCCGCGTGTTTTTCATAACAGCTGTAATGATGGGACACAGCACTTGGGAACAAGTGCTGAGCTTGGCTCTGGCAGAATCAGCAAATTCCACAACGATTTCTGCAAGTGCAAGGCAGGAGCCAAAAAGCTTTTGCAGCTGCACCAGGAGAGGCAGCCTGCTCAAGGCCGCACGGGGATGCGGCGCTCGCCCCGGCAGCGGCCCAGCAGCCCCTCCACCAACAACAGCCGCTTCAGAAATCCCCGGCTGCAGCAGTGCCAGCTCCCCAAAGGCGCCGTGTGCTGACACCGCCGAATGGCTCTGTCAAAACAGCACTGCAGGGTGGAAGTGATGACCCACCGCAAGGGCACGGGAGACAGCCAGCCATGTGATGAAGCAACGGCCCTGAAGCAGCTCCCCGGCTTAGTGAGCTGAAGTTCAATTTCTAACTGAACAGCACAGCTCCCTCCTTCTCCTTTTAAGCCGTGAGGAAGCAGTAATAACACGGGAATTTCCATATAGCTCATTTCTTTTTTCTCCACAACCACCTATTGCCTGTTCATGATTTAGATACTTTTATTTCCAGTCAGTATTTCAAGAAATATTTAAAGCACTATTAAAAAAAAGCAAATTCTTTTACATGTAATAGGTTGAGCATTTGAAAAACTGCCTGTGAACAAAATTCTAATAAAATGTCACCATTTCTGAATGCAGATGACTTTTTTATCCATATATTGAATACTGAAACTGATTTTAGCTGTAGAACAGAAAAGCCAAATCTACAGCAACATTCTACCGTATGTGACAAGGACATTTGACTTTTGGATAGTAGAAGCCAAACAGATTAAATAAGTTAGCGTTACTTTAAACATAAGCTAAGAACAGAGCCAAGCTAGTACCGTAATTTTCTCTCCTGTTTTTCAAATAGCTCATGAAAATAATTTCACAATAGAAAGTTTATTAATTTATTTATATTCATACTTCAGATAAGGTAATTTTGTCTCCAGCCCAATCAATCATATACGCTCTTCAAAACAAAGCCATCTCTTGGGAAATGACTGGTCCAACATCAAGTCACTCCTGCTCACTTTGCCTCCGGTAATAATAAAAACCTACTGTAGAGCTTTTCACCTTCAAAGCATTTTACAAACATTACGTTTCACATAACTCCTTTGCGCTTTCACATCAAGAGGCAACCCAAGGCATATGAAGGGCCAAGAGATTTAAAATCATGATAATGACTATTACGTTGCAAAATCAGCTACAAAAACATGCTGAAGAACAACTGACGAATTTTGATCTTTTATAAGGAAAGCAGAAAAAATACTACCTCAGAGAAGCATCATACCAACTTTACTTTAAGCTACCTGATGTTCAGAACAACTGTGATTATGAAGATAAGGATACCTTATAAATTACCCTATCTCTACAGCTTTTCTGAATGTGGAAGGGGTGTCATATCATTTATGGCACAAGTCACCATGTCATCTTATGGTCTTATACAAAGACATCAAAGAGTAAAATTTTTAAGCTGATAAAGTAAAAATGACCAATATATAACCTTCAAGAAAGTAACAAAGGGTTATCACCTTGAAGGTTGCTGACCATGAAACTTAGCAACAGGCAGGAACTTCTCTAGCTCTTAATAGTTACATCTATAAAGACAATTTAAATATACCCAGAGAAGTTTTCTGGCACCACAGTCAACTTCTCTCCGTACCGTAAGGCTTCCGAGCAGGATAACACTCAAGCTGCCTCCCAGGAACTGTCCCTGGACCATGATAAATTCCTCAGCAGTGGAAGGAGTTGTTTGGGAGAGTCTAGTTAGGATAGGCCAAAAACCTTGCCAAGGACCATTTGAACAATTTAACAGTAGAGATAATCATGTCCTGGTATCTGGGAAAAAACGCTCTGTAGCATTGTTTAGTTTATTAGTACAGACATATCCAATATATATTCCCATTTTTTGTTTAAAAACAAAAAGAAACCAAAAACCATTTAAAAACAAAGAAACCAAAATCTTTTAGAGACAGCAGCACAGAATGTAAGTCAGGTCCCTCAGCTGTTCCCTGTATATGCACTACTTACCAAATAACGTTGTAACTTTCTTTGTCCCTTCATGCCAACTTCTCTGCCTGATTACTAAACTGATTCCATACCGCTACATTTTAATATTCCTTCTACTGGTAAACACATGCACGGAATTGAAATGATCGCTATAATTTTTTAAGGAAGTGTCCATAAAGGTGTGAGAGAGGAAGACGACACCTCATTACTCAAGAGGGATGTAGTCTTCAGGTCGTGATGGAAAGGGATCAAATAAACAAGAATTATTATTATCTTTACAGATGCAGAGCCATGAGATAAGCAACTTGCCTTTTTTTCCAAAATGGAAATCATCAACGCAATATCCCTACTCTGAAGAGTAAAGCTAATATTAACACAAAGAGGAGTCACAAATCCTTTTGCAAGGCCAAGAGAAAAAAACATTCGCACTTCTGAAAAGAGGCGAAATTATTTAAGGAAACACCGTTTTCTTTCCTGATGAAGAAACTGATTAAATACAAGTCAGAAATTTCCCAAAGCAGAGTAATTTATGTTGAAAAGGGGTGCAGTGGGAGACTGGGAAACAGCCTGGCTTTCCCCTAATGTAAAAATACAGACTCCACACCATGAACATGTACAATGGGAATAATTCGGGAAGCCGAACCCAAGCAGTAATGCTTTGTAAACATGGAGAATGAACTACAATACCATTGTGCAAATGTGTACAATAAAAGATTCTGGTGACAGACCACAGTTGCAGATTTGCAGGGAATGAACAGATCTGCAAAGATCTGCTTAACTTTTAGTGATTAACTGGAAGTTATGTAAAATGTTATCAGATACCATTTCACCGAAAATCTAGATTATGACTGCTCACTGTTGCTCAGTCAAGCAACCAACCAACATCGTCCACAACACAAAAGCTCCCTCAGAGTTTGCTTGTCTGGAAGGCAACCAGTAAAGATCTGCACATGGAAAAGAACGACCACAGAAAAAACAGGTAAATAACAACTGCAAGATAGCAGAATCATTACTAAAGAAATCTGAAGGAGTTTGCATAACCCATCTCATTCCTGTGAAGTCTCATGGATAAGGAAAAGGCTAAAGCTAATATCAAATATCAGAAAGATGCCCTCTCGTAAAACAATGAGCTTCACACATCAGCCATTAGTCAAAGCAGATTTAACTAAATAAGCAAGCATACAGAGAGTGTCAGTGGGGCACGTTATCACAAAGGACCCACAAACGTTCATCTACCTTCCTTGACTATTAATGAGAAGCAGAGGAGAGGTACAAAGCTTTGCTCAGCAGGTTCTGAGAAAACTGTAATTTCTTGGGAAGTCAGACACAACGGCTTTATCATTTGTCTTCCTTGAACCCCCTATGTATCAGGTGTCGTGTTTAGAATCTTACATGTTTATCTTTCTGCTCTTTTCTCTGCCTCCGAATTCAGTTTAAAAAGTAATTTTCAGGACAAAGTGTAAAAAGAGATAGCCTTCTTGCAAACTGTACAGCACCTACTCTCTGAAATGGTCATAACAAATTTTCTGTGTGAATTATTGGTGGCTTTACCAAGCTTGTGTCAAACAAAAACCAGTTCACACTGAAAAAAAACACCTCCTAGTTTGCCACCCCAATTATTTTTAGATAAAAAACAGCACTGGTTTAGTTACAGTGCTTATGGTAGTAACGGCTGGATTCAGTATTGCACAGTATCGTTGCTGCCTCTTATCTTAATGCACAACCTCACAGCCTCACAGCCCTTTAGCTAATAAATAGCTAATAAATAAATAGCTAATAAAATTTGAAGAGCTAATAAAGAAAATAAAAAAAATTATGCCAAGCTTCCTGTTCTTCAAGACTCTTCTGTATTTCACTATCATACAATAAAAAGTGATATAAAACACAGTTTTGTAGAATTTCATCTTAATGAAAGCTTGACGTAATAAGCTTTCCAAAGACAACAAAAAGTCTGAAACAAGATGATGACCATTGCTCTAAGAGCATCCACAT